GTAAACCCCCACAAAACCAAACATATACTTATTATGTCTTTTAACCATATAAGTTCTTGTAAGATCTTCCTAAAAAAATTACCAAACACCTTAATTAAATTAGGTTAAAAATATCATAATTGCAAAATGTATGGATAGGGTTAATAATCAATCCAATTATTAAAAAGGACTGGATTCAGATGCCTCGAATTCAAATTCAACAAAGGGATGATGCCTTTTTGTATGAAAAGGATAAAATGCCAAATCCCATAAAACACCTGTAACCAGCCCAGCCACAGCCAGCAATCAAGATAAGAGTCCCGTTATCTAAGCTTTGTTACAAGATATTAAGAAGAATATGCTTAGAAAACAACAGCTCTTTCTGGCATACAAGCTGCCTTGTTTGATACATGCAGACACAGCTGTCCTTGTCCAACTGCATTCATTTTTTACACTAATCCCTGCCTACGGAGCTTTCTTTTAGCTTGCATTGTAAGGCTCGTTTGGGAGGGCTGAGCTGAAAATTCAGCTAAGTCGATTCAGCTTCTTTTAAAGTTATTCAAAGAAGCTGAAGCAGATAGCCCCTTTTAAGGCCCCCATTTAGGTGGCTCTTTTGTGTTTGGGGCGAGCTGAGCTGCGTTAATTGAGCCGATTTGTTTGAGCACGTGTGTTTTGGATTACTATTTAGACTAGTTTCATGCAAGGTTTTTAAAACTGACCCGCAAAACAAATCGGTCAGCAGTCTGATTCTCAGGTCAAACGACCCGACTGTTTGAATCGAACAGACAGTCCATTATGATAAAAAATTAAAAAAAAAAAAAAAAAAAAATCAGCCAAACAATTGAACTGTTCTAACAGTTTGACCGCCCGGGTCAACAGTTTGCTGACCAAATCAACAGCTTTGGGAGAAATAACGGTTCATTTGGATTTTTCACCAAACATAACTTATAGACTGTCCATATAGAGCCGGGGCCCATCTTAAGTGGCTGCGCTTCAGTGCACCCAAACGGGGACTTAGAATTGGAATTTAAGTTATAATTCAGTCGTCACATAAAAAAGAAAAATGCTTCTGCTTTTGGTCATCATCAACTGGCGATTGGCGAAAGAAGAAGAATACAAAGTGGAATCCATCTAACTCATTGAGGGCGGAGAGATCAACTGATAATAACAGGTCATCACCTTCATGCCCATCTCTTACTGGCTTACCGCCGTTAAAGTTTATTCGAATTCCCTCCCTATCAAATATCAATTTGGATTAAGCCATTAAGGCAAATCGGGCTACAGGGTTAACCCTGGCCAGTTCAACAGTTCAACTTACTCTGAATTGTTCAGTATTCTTAGTTGTGAAATGCACAACTGATCACGCAACAGAGCTCCAAACCAATGAGTAATTAGAGAGTTTGAAAGCCGAAACCCAAAGAGCTCGATCTAAACCAAGCTGGATTGCGCATAGATCTCTCTTTACAGGTTCATCAGCCAAACGAATTTCGCCACTGGCCACTTTGAGTTGGAACGTACGTCTGTGGCTAGAGAGCCAAAGTCCAAACTACTCTAATTGCTGGGTTGGTGAATCCCAGCTCATGCCCAAGTTGGCTCTAGCAAGATTCCCAACCAAACAGATGTTAAAGCTGCATAAAATTTTCGGTGAAATTTCACAAAATTTTGGTTTTTTTCCTTTTGGATGTAACAATCAAAATAAAGTTCGATTTTTTTTTTCTATTTACTAAGTTTTGTCATAACCTTGAAATTAGGGGTGTTCATTGTTTGGTTTAAACCACAAAATTGAATTGAACCAAACCAAATTTATGATTTGGTTCAGTCTGCACATGAAAGGCTGAAAACAGTTTGGTTTGGTTTCATAGTTTGCTAAATTGTGATTACAGTTTTGATTTGGCTTCTTTGATTTTATAAATCAAATCAAACTATGGCCATGTTTGGTAGTACTTCTGTTAAAATCAAGTGCTTATTCGAAGAAGCATTTATTTGCATTAGGCACCCAACTTATTTCATATTGGGCATTTGGTAGTCTTTCTCTTCATTAAACACTTAAATAAGCATTTGTAACCTATTTTGTCTTTCATTTTCATTCAAATTTTACAAAAGCATTTTTATGAAAGTACTTTTGTCAAAGCACTTTTATAAAAGTACTTTTACAAAAACACTTTTTACGAATATACTTTTATGAAATCACTTTTACAAAAGCACTTTTATGAAAGCATTTTTATAAAATCACTTTTACGGAAGTACTTTTATGAAAGTATTTTTATGAAAGCACTTTTACAAAAGTACTTTTATAAAAGCACTTTTATGAAAGTATTTTTACAAAAGTACTTTTATAAAATTCAACTAGGGATAGTTTTATAAGGAGTATTTTAAAATTCAATTAGGGATAATTTTGGTAGAAAAAATTGAATAAGTACAATAAGCACTTATTAAAAGCTAGAAATTTAGGCTTAAAAAATAAACCCATATTTTTAGAATAAGCACTTATTTTGGACTTGTTTTCCAAATACCAATAAGTGCTTAATGGTGTAGTCCCAGCCCAAATAAGCACTTATTTTTAAGCACTCCCAAACATGGCCTATAAAGTGTAAACCAAAATTATATATATATAAACCAAATGTATAAAATTATAAATATATAATAAAATTTTTTATTTTATAATGAAATAATAAAATAAAATTTTAAAGTTTTGATCTTGGGGGTGTTATTTGGGCTTTCTAATTGGGTTAAGCCCAATAGAATCAAAGAATGGTCTAAATTGCCCCAAATCGTATTTGAAACTGCACAAAACCGTAATAAAACGGTTTGGATTCCATGCCAAAACTGTTTGGTTTGGTTTGAAAATTTTTCAAACCGTTCTCAACCCGTAATTTACCAGTTTKGTCTGAGATCTTCTCCAAACCAGACCATAAAAATTCCTATGAAATTCGACGATTTTAGCTACTTATTTCTCCATCATTTTGGACATAATATCAAAATTAATGAATTTTATAATACAAGTCATGCATGATTATTGTATCGATTTTTGATAGACTATATGAATTTGACTATGATACTAGAAAGACATTATACCAGAAAAATCAGTAACCAATGATGACTATTTATCAAATACAGAAAAAAAAAAACGATAACCAATTGGGTGGTTTATTCATTAAGGGGCTTTTGATTGACCAAAACCCTTCCAATATCATGTGTTTCTAAGAGCCCATCACCCATATCCATAACCCTGAACTTGGTGGCAACGGGCCGGATTTACCTACAAACTGCAAAAGAACCTACCAACTGAACCACCATATATGATTGATACTGGATATAATAATCATATCACACAGTGGGTGGAGGGTTTATAAAAATACATTTACAACCTTAGTAGTCTTATAATAAAAATAAATGGTACTCCATACTATTGGATAATCATTAAACTGATAACTACTGCAACAAACACCATCTCATTATATATTCATTGCCTTCATATGACAATAACACTAATAAAGAACTTCACAATTCACAATAATATAATAGATCAATTTCAAGAAGAAAACATAATAATAAAATAATATAGACCTTAACACAACAAAGACACAACAGAAAACTTTGATCATCTGGAAACAGAAAATTTACATAATAGCATGTAAGCAGACCCACCATTATTACCATTTCCCCTCCTTCCTTCATTCATAGAGGCATCCATATTAATATTATCATCTATGCCACTGCTCATTTGGAGGTTGCTCCTTTTCCACCACCTGAAGTGCTCCAAAACCTTATCTTGTTGCGCTTAATGAAATCAGAAACACTCTCATTTATGCTTTTAGTCTTGTTTAGTTTCCCTCTTGCTGCTGGTGTCTCCGCGCCCTCTTTTCCTTGCTCATCACCAACAACACCAGAAGTAGTGCTCCTAAACTTTACCTTGGTGCGGCTAATGAAATCACTGGCCCTATCACTTATGCTTTTAGTCTTACTCAGTCTCCCTGTCGAGGAGCCACCCTTGTTTCTCTGCTCTTCCACTTCCATGGCTGGAGATTGAGGCTTGGTGGGAACTGCTTCCAAATCCTTCTTGTGTTGGCCTTTTATTGGGGCAGTTGGTTTTGATGGGGTGTTGGGTGCCTTGGCACTGCAGCAAGATTTCAAGAGTTTGCTACACATGTTCTGAGGTTTTGAAAGGGATGGAGATGGAGAGGTTCCTTTGATTTGCTCTTGTATTTGGATATGGGTAATTGGTTACGGAAGACAACATTGGGCCGATGGGGGATTTTATATGGGGCTAATCTAATCAAGGAGAGCTCATTCTAGCTTTTGGTGTTGTGTGAAAACCAATTGGGATTTGGGATGAGCAGAATATGAGAGAGAACTTGGGCTTTTGATTCCTACAGGTCGTAAAGAAAATTCTCTCACTTATTTTCTTGTACAAGTCATACACCACATTGGCTTTGGATCATATTCCCACCTTTTTTCTACAAAAGATGAAAGCAACGGCCTCCATTCAAATGAAGTGGCATGCATGCAACTAATGATTTAAAATCTTAGGTTGTGTTTGGTACCATTTTTTCTTTTACCTAAACATTTTGTCATATCAAGAGTCACTTCAGCTAAAAAAAAGTATGGGGAGGCAGAATTTTTTTCTTAAGAGGCTCAAAAGCTAATAAACATGGATTGGGGGAGGGGGAAAAGTTAATAAAATATGGATGAGGAATATAAATGAGGATATTTTACATGGGCGAACTGATCATTAAGGTTTATAATTGAAATATCAAATTGATGTAGTCAAACATTTTTTCACTTCAACTAAAAAAAGAATGCATAGAACTTTCTTTAATTCACATCAGCGACCCACGCATCCCAACCATGGGAATATCTTCCCATGACAAGTATGGGAGATATGTTTCCAATGCACGCTGAGATGTGTATATGAGGCACTGATATATAATTGACGTTTAGAGTTGAGAGAGAAAGAGAGAGTTAATAACATTATTTTTTATTTGAAAATTGATTAACACTACCCTTATGGTTTAACTAATTGACTTTACTGTTTGAAAATTGACTTACACTGTGACAATTGACTAACTCTACTCCTGTCCTTAACATCCTTAAAGCATCCGTGTTAATGATTAAAACCCAATATTGCCCTCGTACCCTGACTCCCCACTCTCTCTCTCTCTCTCTTCTAACTAAGACCTCCCCGTCCGTATCAGGAAGCACATCTTCTTTGATAACACCTCTTCTGGTGAGCGGAAGTGGCAGGTTCAGCCTCAAGGATTCACACATGGCTGCATGGAAATACACCAGATCCTTGAGATCTTCTGAATCAAACACCCTGATCTCTGCTTTTGATCTTCTTCTTCTTTAACTGCATCAATTCATCCAGGATCTTTTCCTCCATGCGAGGGGTTGTGGAAACCAACCAGAGGAACCAAGTGAGAGACGTTCCCGTCGAGTCCCGGCCAGCAAACAGGAAGCCCAATGCAGTGTCTCTGAGGAACATACCACTGTAAGCCTTGCTTTCTCCATTCTGAGCTTGAGAACTCGTGTACATAGCTATCAAATCACTTCCCTGCACCCCTTTGCGTAGCTCTTCTCTTTTCAACGAAATGTGCTCTAACAAGTGACGATCTATGATCTTCCGAGCTCTGCCCAGTCTCCCCTCACTCCCGACCCCCAACCAACCCAACAGCTTCCACAGCTTCCTGGGCATGATGTGCCTATGGAACACACCTTCCGTCCCGTCGTCGATGGCTTTAGCAATCTCATAAGCAGCAGAGCTCAAAGAGAACGAGTTCGGGTTTCTGCCGAGGACAACCGTGTAGACACTGTTAAATGCAAACCTCATGAACACATCTTCCAAATCCAGGACGTTGCCATGCTTAGCAGCCTGAAGCATCAAGCTCAAGAGTCCATCACCCACCAGCTTCCTGCTCACGCTGGCCGTGAAACTCCGGAACTCCTTGGAAGCCAAGACGATGTGTGTTATCTTCTTGTGAGCACGCCACTCATCGTCGTCCAATGAAGATATCATCTCCGAGCAGATGGGATCGGTTTAGTTTCCCTCTTCCCTCCTTGTCCGGTGGAATGCCTGAAGAGCTCTGATAACACTCGTCGTCTGTATCCGAGTGCGTGGAGGGGTCCGCCGCTGCTGCAACTTGCTGCAGTGGCGATGATGAAACATGGACAAGGGTGAATTGGGGGAGAGAGAACGAAGGGTCGAAGAGAGAAAGAGAGGGAGGGAGTCCTTCGTCGGTGGCTGTCGTCACCTGTGACGGCTGTGCCGAGAGGGAGAGAGAATGAAGGGTTCGTCGCCTCGCCGAGCAGTCTTTGGGCAAAACAGCAGTGGCTGCAGTCATTCTCTCTCATTCATCCCCTACTTCCTTCGAACGAAAAACAGCGGCGGTGGCACCCCTCCCGGCGATTCTCCGGGCCAAATAGCCCCTTGTTCTGAGAATAGAGCAGCGGTGATGATTTTGTCATCAGAAACGCTGAAGAAATCACCGAAAAAACAAGATTTTAATCAAATCACAATACAGTTTGGTGATCTGGGCTGACTTTAAGAATATCACCAAAAATTAGCACGGTGAAAGCTTCATCACCGGTTCCGGTGACTACTCAATACCAGTTACCTCATAACAAAATGATCGGAAGAAAATTAATGACGATTGGACTTACCTGATCTTGAAAAGAACAGGAGTCTCACAGCGGCGGCAAACTGTAGATTCTCAGGCAGGTAGAATCCGATATTTTGAAAGGGGTTTTTAGGTGCAAAAATGACAGGGATGTAAGTGCTGAAATCACTGAGTTCAATGTTTCTTTTCCCTTTTTGCCTTTCTATTAACGGACGTAAACAAAATAGTTAGAGTTAGTCAATTGTCACATAGTGTTAGTCAATTTTCAAACAATAAGGATGCACTATTTAGTCAATTATCTAAACGATAAGCGTAGTTTAAAAAATCAATCATAATAATAATAATATGTTTATTAATAATGATAATAATAATAATAAATCAATATTGTTATAAATAGTTATTATTATTTGTTTATTTAAGTAAATAACAACATTTAATATTAATATTTATATAATAATTAATAAGAATATTTAATAATATGTTTATTAATAAAAATTAAAATATTTATTATTATTTAAAAAATAAATAGTTACTTATTTCAAAAATACAATATTTKTTTATTAATAAAATACTATTTTATTTAATATTGTTTTTATTATTTATAATATTATCAAATAGTCTATTTCTAAATGTAAAATAGTAAACTCCACAATTTCAAATGTTGGAAAATTGTTCCAACTGAAACGATCTTATCCTTTTAGAACTTTTAAAAAGCAGAACAACATTTCTATTTCTTTTCAGATTTCAGACATGAATAATAACTTATGGACTTTTCAGACATTAGGCTTTAGATTTTATCAAACACCACTTAAGAAAGAGTCTTCTAGACTGCCAAATTTTAATTGATTTGGTCCAGAAAAAGATTAAGAGAGAGAGAGAGAGAATGATCACTAGAATCAACTTGTACCACATTCTCATTACCATAGTGCCAATATATCCGAATATGATCTTTGCTTATGGTTTGGGGGAATGGTGGAAGATATTCAGCCTTGACCAATGTCTTCTAGCATTAAGCTTAGTTGTTGATTTGCTTGTTGATGTAGGGTGTTTTTGACCCGACCTAGTAATAGGGGGACACGTGGACACGATCCAACTAATAAGACGACAACTCATCCTGACGTACCAAGTCTGCAACGGACTGAGCTTAGATAATTGAACCACCTCGGAGCAAGTTCATTTCGGAACACGGTTGCATCTAGATCACCTCGGTTACAAGGCACTTTGGCGTTCGTACTAGGTCAGATCCAAGGGGCATTAGCTCGAGTAATATTGACCGACCTTTGCATGTTAACCCCGAAGATATCGCCACCAGATTCCACGCTTTATGGGATCACACCTCTGCCAGCCTTATCTCCCCCGTCCGATCCGGGCGGAAGCGATAAGCCTTATCGGTTGGCAACTTTATTTCTTGCTAATACGGATACGAGCCTCATCACGGCAAGAATCCCGGAATCACTCCAAAAAACCCGCGAGGACTCCAGTATATAAAGACCCCAACCCTTTGAGGGCAAAGGTACGYGTAATCACTGCTTACTAGCCCTCTTGCTTTCTAAACTATTTTCAGCTCACAAACTACTAATTTGAACATCGGAGCGACCTCGCCAGGTAAGCACCCCCGGGTTCTCTGATTCTCTCGGTGCAAATCAGCCAACTCTGTCATCCACTGGAAGCCAGATCATCTTCAACTAGGAGCAACCAGATTGCGTCGCATCACTTCTTAATCCGTGTTTGTCCATGCCTCCAATATCATAAAATGATCTTTGCTTTATCACCTCCGATCTCATTGCATTTGGCCTCAAGGCCTCTAGGTATCTATGTTGGTCTCGGGCACTATGAATGGGAGCAATGGCCTCTGGTGGGTACACAGGGAATCAAAGTTCGGGATTCCCAAATTTGTACAAAGAAAACAGGAAGATTGGGAACAATTGTTTTGTAATCAAGGGGACCCTCTAATGCACGAATACTTGGTTAGTATGCAAAGAGTAATAAAGGACAAAATTAGATTTTTATATAAATTATTTTGTCAGAAGGGAGGTTTTTGTTTGACGACAATGAGAGGTCTTAGGCTATGTTTTGTGAATAAGTTGTTTGAGAAATAAGTGCTTATGAAATAAGTACTTATTGTTGTTTGGGCGGCCCCTTTCCGAAACCACTTATACATATTTTAAGTACTTGTTGAGGTTAGAAAGTTTGGTAAGCCACTTCAACAAAATGCTTAATTTTGTGAAAATGGCAATTTTAGTCCCTACTTTACAAATGCATATAAATATTGGTTTTTGAATATTATATCATTAATATATTAATAGTTATGAAATCAGTAGTAATAATAATAAGTATATTATTATTATTATTATTAACTAATAATATATTCTTATTATGTACATATTGGTTTTGAAATCAGTAATATTAAAATATTACTACTACTACTACTAATTTTAGTTACTTGTAATAATAATAATGTAAATAAGTAACACTAATATTATATTTATAAAATATTTAATATAAATTAATATTAATATAAAATGATTATATCCCAATTAATAATTAACATTATTAAATTGCTTATTAATTATCACTAATTAATTAATTAACATTCCAAAGTAATAATTATCATCATTAGTATTAGTAATAATTAATTATAATTATTGATAATAATGATATAATTATATTAATTAATATAATATTAATAATTATAATTAATTATAGTAATATAATTAATTATTTCATATAAATGTATGAATTATAATTTCTTATAATAATTATAAAATAAATAATTAACATTAAATATTTATTTTCAAAATAATTAATATGAGTTAATATAAATATAAAATTATTATTTCTGAATTATTAATTACCATTATGAAAATATTTATTAATTATGAGCAATTAAGTAATTATTATTAGTAATCAATAGATGAAATCATTCCTTTAATATATTATTATTATTACTACTACTACTACTACTACTAATATATAATTATTAGTAAGCAATATTGTATAAAAACTACAAATGTTAATGGTAACAAGAGTTGAACCTTGGTCACTAGAATTTAACACCCATAACTTTGCCACTAAGCCATTTCAATTTACTTGTTATACTTATATACATTTTTAGTTTTAAGTAAATTTTATATTTTATTAGTGGTGCTTATTATTAAATGCTGGAAATTAATTATTACGATTTATATGCTAATAAATATTAAGTTAAATTATATCGGTTATTTGAAAATTGATGTATATACATCACATTTTAGTCCTTTTTTGCTTTTTTCATATTTTAGTTGTTCCACAATTTTTCAACGATTATTAATTATATCTTAATATGYCACATTTTATATAAACATTAAATTATGGTTTTTTAACATTTAAATGACTTATTTACAATCATATAAAACTTGTAAGTATTGTTACTGATATAATTTTTATGATTTATTTAAATTTTCTATATATTTATGTATATCTTGATTTTTCGTCTGTACCCACGTGTATCTAAAACATATCCCAATACRTTTTTTAAAATTGTCTTTCCGATACATTTTGCGATTCCGATACTTTGAATCTTGCATCAAACTAGGGTTTGACACACTCCCGTATCAGTGTATATCGAACCATATCAGTCAATATTGTGTGATACCCACCAATACAATAATATCTTGRACCAATACGCATGACTGGTGACTCCATTCACGGGGGTATTATCATCATAGATAGGGTCTTCTCCATTCACGGGGGTATTATCATCATATTGAAATTTTTTAGGGACAATCTAGTCCCACAAAAAAGAAATAAGCAGTACTTAAAACAAACAGCCCTATCACTTATTTTTTAAATAAATACTTATTCCTGTCTTTGTGGTCTCACCACAATACTTAAACTAAAGGATACCAAACAGGGGCTCAGTCCAATTTGGAAAGAGGAGGTATTTAAGAGAAACCTTAAAGGAGGTTCAGGTCCTTAAACTTATTAACTATAAACAAATAGACGCAAAAGTGAACTGGATACAAAATTTGTATGCACCGCAAACAAACAAAGACAAACTGAACCGGAAGATACCTCAGTTGGCTAGGGTACATTGTGCAATACAAATGTCGGGTTTAAGGAGATCATTCATTATTCATTAGTAGAAACGAATATATGCCGATAAGATTATCAATTCACAAACATCTTTTTTCCCTCTTGAAAGGAAATCAAATTGGTAACTTCTTCCTTAAATCGTAAGTAATTATCTCTGAGTCAGCAAAAGCTGCTCAAGCCCAATTTATGAATAGTATGAAAGCTTCCAGAACCACTAAGCAGAATCAAATTCCATATGCAACTGAAAACCCAGGATCACTATACCAAAACCATATCCAATGTCACATTTTTAGCTCATGCTGATTTATCTCTTCAGGGAAATTCTGTGGAACTAAAAAAGTATGCATAAATTTCCACGGGCATTAGTAATTAGTAGAAACTTTACAAAGACAACAGTAAAATAACAAAAAGAAAAACTAAAAAGCAGACAACAATCAAGAAATAAATACAAAAGTAACGAGGACACAAAGGCTTACGAGGATTAAGATCTATCCAAAGATTGGAAACATTGGCCTTAATTTACAAAGTTACAGATTCATAAGCATTTACAATTCCAGAGGTATTTGCATAAAGCAGCACATCTTAAATCGCTCCATATGGCAACCATGCCAGGAATATTTTAATTTGTAAAAAAAAAAAAAAGAAATATTAGACAACTGCGAAATTTATAAGCAATTTGGCTGAAACATGGGGCATATGATGACAGCAAAGCTCCAACTTCAGGGGCTCTTACCACCAGAGGAAAAATATCATGATTCCAACCAGATTCGCTGTATTGTATGGTTTTCTAGGTTCTCAAGGAACGATTGTTAATGGCAAAAGGTCCTCAAGGCCCTGTACGGTATGCTTTTCTAGCTCCACATGGAACAATGTTAATGGCGGAAAGTCCTCACAATCTGCTCAATTCGTCGCCGGCAAAGTGGACAGCTGGTCAAGTGTGAAGAGCAGGTTGTACAGCAGCACATATGACCACACCTAAAAATTATAGATCCCATCAACATTTAGTAATTTTTAACTAATAAAAGCACAAAATTATAAGGGAAAATATATAGCTATTTACAACTCATTGAAAAGGCAAGATAAAATAAAATCCTTTCCTACATATGCAAATTCCAGCATAGATCCCATCGATGTTCATTCATCTCATTCAACCCTGATGCAGTAGCCATTGGAATGACCAAAATTTGGATGCCAAAGTGGAGAACCACCTCCATGATAGAGCACCTTTGGAAAATCCTAACCAATGGGTAACTCTAAAACATAATAGGCATAACCACAGACAAGTACTAGCCAGCTGATTTCTGTTAACTGCCATTATGCTAGAGGTGGCTAAATGGAAATTAGTTGCCTTGTTCCCTATATGTCATTTGAGATTTTGAGCACCTTGAACCCTTTTCCAGAAACCTACTATGTTTCAACAATGATACAATGATTTATCTGGATTATAAAAAAATGATTTTATAATTTTAATT